CAAGCATAAGTAGCCGCTAGCAAGCGGACCTCCTCAATGGTCTCCAAGGGTGTGTCTTCATGAAAAGGCTTCAAGTGGTGGCCATTCACTGTGAATACTTTATCTGTTCCAGGCTCCAAAATCTGTATAGCACCATATGAAAAAATCTTAGTTACTATATAGGGGCCAAGCCACCTAGAACGAAACTTACCTGAAAAGAGCTTGAGGCGAGAATTGTAGAGAAGCACTTTCTGGCCTATGGAGAATTCCTTCCGCAGCAACATCTTATCATGAATGAGTTTTGTCTTTTTTTTGTACATGCGGGAGTTCTCATAGGCTTCCAACCGAATCTCCTCTAACTCCTGAAGTTGGAACTTCCTGTGAAATTCGGACTGGCTCATATCAAAGTTACAGTTCTTAACTGCCCAATATGCTTTGTGCTCAATTTCCACCGGAAGGTGGCATGCCTTGCCAAAGACAATTCTATAAAGGGGACATCTCCAAAGGGGTCGTGTAGGCAGTGCGGTAAGCCATAGTGCATCTTCAAGCCTCTTGCTCCAATCCTTCCTGTTTGCCTGAACTGTTTTCTCCAGAATATGTTTCAGCTCCCTATTTGATACCTCTGCCTGTCCATTAGTCTGCTGATGGTATGGAGTTGAAACCTTGTGAGTGACACCATATTTTTTTAGCAGGGCTGCCATGTTCCTGTTACAGAAATGGCTTCCTTGATCACTGATGATTGCCCGGGGCACTCCGAACCTGCAAAGAATGTGTGATTTGACAAAATCTACAACAACATGAGAGTCATCAGTTCGGGTGGCCTTGGCCTCCACCCACTTGGAGACATAATCAACAGCCAACAAAATATAAACAAAACCAAATGAGACAGGAAATGGACCCATAAAATCAATACCCCAAACATCAAATATCTTACAAAACAATAATGGTTGTTGAGGTATCTCATTTCTACGGGAGATAGAACACGTCTTTTGACATTGTTCACAATTCTTACAATAGGTGTAAGAATCTCGAAACAATGTGGGCCAGTAAAAACCTGCATCTAAGACCTTCCTAGTAGTGCGTTATGTCCCTCACGTAGTGCTTCACCCTAGATACATGAAAAAATTCCATGAGAACTCAAAAGAACAAGGAAGGAGGCGAAAACTGAAAACCCTAGTTCACAATACTTACCTCCAAACATTCCAAACACAATTTCAACCTTCAATCTAGGGCACAAACAGCTTAAGAGGCAATTTAATTAGTGAAAAAGGCTAGGGATTGAGAAAATCGAATGAGAGAACGAAGGAAAAGTAGGAAACACAATTTCCCTAATCCTAAACTCCTTAAATAACCAAAGTGTTGCGACATTCTTGCTATAGCGAGACCCCTTCTCTCTACAGCAAAAACACCAGACAAAACTGTAACTGATTTCTGCATATTCTCGCTACAGCGAGACTGCACCCAAAAAAGACTATATCTCTGTTGCCCTCTCGCTGTAGTGAGAAGGCAACAGATGCACGCCACTTGTCAAGGACCTTCTTGCTATAGCGAGAACGCCCTTGCAATTCACCCATCCTCATCCTATGTTTTTCAATCAACTCCAGCCAATCCAAGTTAACACACACACTCTCTCTCTCTCTCTCTCTCTCACACACACACACACATATATATATATACACACATCCACATCATCACACAAATCAATGCACACTTTCAATTAACAATACAGTACTCATACTACAATCAAAATATTGATACTAAATTCAGGGTTTACACAATAAAAGCTCCCTTGCTTTGTAATCATTAGACACATAACCCCATGCACTAGTGGGAACATCATTGTTATAAATCTTCCGGGCAAGAGTGGTCTTACCCAACCCTTCTATGTCGATTATGGAAGTAAGTTTGCAACTTGAATCACCTGCTATTATTTTAGTATTGGATAATACCCACATTTATAGTGATAAAATTTCCTAAAGACACGTTTTAATATAACAGCAATATCACCTATTTTGGAATGATAGTCCTTACACACTTTTACGGTCGATACTACTATCATCTTTTTTTGTTCGATAGTATTGTAATGATGACACATATCAATCTATGAATGTGTATCAACCCAAGATAACCAATAGTCTATTAAATAATAATAATAATAAAATACTACCATCCATGCATGGCTGATACTAGTGTTGAAATGGCAAGAAAATGTACTAGACAGAAAATTATTTTTAAATAAAACTTATTTTAGGAATTAATTTTTAAAATGTATTATTTAGATAAAAAAGCCTACATATCATCGTGGTATAAAAGAAAGTATTGTTTATATAAGTGATACGATACATTTTGTGACATAAAAAAAAGATCAACACAAAACAAAAGTTTTATATATATTAATTAGGTAAATAATTTTTAAAAATATCTTAATTATATAAAAAAAAAACATGATTCTAAGGTGCTTGTGAACTAATTGTGCTGCTCAAATTAATTAATTAATTAGCAAATTTATGAATACAATCAGTTCATTAGATCTGAGTTGTATTTTATCATAAAAAATTTCATAAAAAAAATATATCCTCGAAAGAAAAGGTAATATTGGATTTTGAATAAAGTTTTAATCCTCATATTTTGTATATTTTTATGCTTTGATTTTTATATTTTATACTAAACTCGTACATTGATTTTATCTGGATAAAATTAATACGTCTGCTCATAATATGCTTTAATTAAAGGTTTAATTATATTATTGGTCCTTATAAATGTTGGTCATTTTTTAATAAGTCCTTATAATTTTTTTTTTAATATTTAGTCCTTGTAAAGTTAGAAAATTAAGATTTAGTCTTTGTCGTTAACTTCTTCTCTATTAAGTGCTGAACTGACTAACGAAGAGCTAGGTTAGCACTCCGCGTGCTATCATGTATCATGTGATATGTCACATTATTTTTAAAATATTTTTTATTATTTAAAATTAAGATTTACAAATAAGTCTTTGAACCTATTTTATTTAATTGCATAAAAGTCATTTTTCCTTCTCCTTTTCCTCCGCCCCTATCCCTCTCCTTTCCCCTCCTCCTTCTCCTCCACCCCTACTCCTCCCCTTTCCCCAAGTCTACTCCCTCCCTTTCTACCTCACACCTCAAGTTTGTACATGTCAAAAAAAATAATCTTACACATAGAATACATTTCACATTTACCCTAATTTAGTAATTTATTTTTAAATTAATTCTAAATTAGAAGAAAAAAAATCTTAAATATGCGTTGAATTTAAGTATTTTTATGTTATTTATATTTTATTCGTAGTTTATGAATCTTTGAGCATTTTAGCTAGTAACATTTTTATGTGTTGTTTACTCATTTTATATTGTACACATTATTCATATTAATCTTAGCAATACCTTCTCTAACACATTTTTGTAATACAATTAAAATTTATTAAAAATTATAATAATCATAAATGATTATAATTCATTTTCTTTTTCACTTTTTTTTCGCATTTTTTAAAATTTTAATAAATTTAATTTAATAATAAAAAATTATTAAAGATTGTGTCGCAAACATTATTATTTATACTCTTTACTATACCATGTCAAATTGATAATCAATGAATAGATTTAGTGGAAGTTAGAATATATTTTACTTAAAAATGTAAGATATTAATCTTCATTACTGGTATTTGGCTTAAAGAGACAAAATTTTAATTTTTTTTCAAGTTACAGGTGTTGACAAATGAATAGTGCGGGGACAAATCAAGCGCGGCCCCAGCAGGCCAAACCATTATGGAGCAGACAAAAACGAACACGTAAAAAGCTTCAGTCCTCATGGTTTTAGAATGTCCACAGTATCTAAAGGACTTCAATACTTTTTGCTGTTAGCTAAAAGTCTTTCTAAAATCATGTTCCATGAAACATTAATTTTTTAAAATTTCATCATTTTGGTTATAAAGAAGACAGGCAATTACATTTATACAAAGTAACAGTAATTCTTTCTTCTATCAACATTATAACAATTGATTGTTAATTTAAAAACAACTAGATTGAGGAATATATAAAAATAACTAATTAGGGGAAAAAAAACTAAAAGAGCTTAGTTAAAATTTTCTCCACAATCTTTTAGTTTGTCGTTACTTTTTTTTAGTTAATATTTGTTTCACACCCGTAGGACGTGAAAATGTTGCAAGGAAGAAAATATAAAGAGAAGGAAAACACAATGAAAAAAGTGAGATGAAAAAAGTGAAAAAAAGAAATGTAAGAAAAATATAGGAAATCTTATGCACTTTTATTCAAACAATGCACAGTTTTTAAAATTTCTTATTTTCTCATATATTATATACAAAATAAAATAAAATGGTTTGTTACTGAATGTGTAAATCAGCTAATAAGATATTATTTAGACTTAACTAATGATTTTGAGTTGATTCTTAAGAATGCAATTGCATTAAAACGCAGTAGAAAATTTTTTATCACCCTTAACAATCTTACCAGGCTCGAATTTGAATTGAACGAAATCCAAAAATAAAATAAGATAGTTTGCTAGAAAGAGAATGATATCAGTATCCTAAAAGAATCAATTTTAAGATAGTGTAACTGTTATTTTTGTTTATTTTTGTTCATCTCTCAAATAATAATTTATGAGAGTATATGTTTCAGACCCCTTCATAAAAGTGCGAGATGAATACTAATAATAATAAAATAAATAAATAAATAGAGATAACAAGAGTAAATAAAATATAAGACAAATGAATATCATGCTTCTAGCTCGTCCCCCTCAGCCCCCCCTCGATATTTTTTTTCTGGCACGCTAAACCCTGTATATATGTACCAATCATTGACCCTAACAACCGCAGATAGCACTAGGCACTGACCACAACACCTTCCTAGTAAATAACGGGCTTTGCGAAGGGCAAACCCGTCCACCAACGCTCTATAAAACCCCTCCGGTTTCTTTTATCTCTCATTCACACCAATACACAACAACAACAGCAATAACATAATACACCCATCTCCTTCAGAGAAGCAGTTAAGATGATAACAGGAGACGATTTGTACAAGGTAATGTGTGCCATGGTGCCTCTATATTTCGCAATGTTGGTGGCATACGGATCAGTGAAATGGTGCAAGATGTTCACCCCAGATCAATGCTCCGGAATCAACCGTTTCGTGGCAGTGTTCGCTGTTCCAGTGCTCTCTTTCCACTTCATTTCCCTTAACAACCCCTACCAAATGGACACAAAGTTCATCGTAGCGGACACCATCTCCAAGCTTATTGTCCTCCTTTTGCTTTCCCTTTGGGTCATTTTCTTTGTCAAAGGCTCCTTTGATTGGCTCATCACTCTCTTCTCCGTAGCCACTTTGCCCAATACACTCGTCATGGGTATCCCTCTCCTTCAAGCCATGTACGGTGACTTCACCCAAAGCCTCATGGTGCAACTCGTTGTCCTCCAATGCATCATATGGTAACCAATTAGTTAACCGTTTCTCAAATTTATTCACCACGTTGCTTATTTCACTCGTTTTGCTTACACAAAACTTTCTAACATTTTTGTCACAATAAATAATTAAATTAGTTGCTAAAACATAATCTTTAAATGATAAAAATCGTGTTACAAGGTTTCTAATGTGATTTAATTTCTCCGGTTAAAGTAGTTCCTATGTCACAAATTTGGTTTCGGAATAATTCATCCGACAAATACACGTTTGAAATAAGTGCATGTTTAATTTATTTATCAATTTTTTAATAAAATTGTTAAACATAAACATTTTTGTAATTAAATTATTCTCAAATGCTCACAAATCACTACTAAAAACATTTTTAGATACTAAATGTATGTTTCAGAACAACTTAAAAAAAATACTAATTTTTAAAATTCTAAAGTAAATAAAAATAAATGTATTGTTTTTCTAAACAGCACACGTACTACATACATTAATTACAACACTTGTTGTTATTTGAATAACTGATAATTAATAGTATAAATATAATATTGTGTATAGTTATTTTTATTTTTACAATTATTTTAAATTTCTATATATACACACATTTTTTTAAAACAAAAAAAGCTAAAAATTATCCTTAAAAAATGTTCGGAAGAACATTTCTTACGCAACACACATGCGGGATGACTGAACCGAGTGAATGATTTATGACTTCAGGTACACTCTACTGCTATTCTTGTTCGAGTACAGAGCAGCGACACTTTTGATCCAAAGCAAGTTCCCAGGGCACACGGCAGCATCTATAACAAAATTCGAACTTGATGGTGATGTCATATCCCTCGACGGCCACGACATGCCGCTTCGAACCGAATCGGAAACCGACGACCACGGCCGAATCATTCGGGTTCGGATCCGAAGATCCATTTCCTCAGCTCCGGAATCAAATTCTTCCATCGGCACCGCCGTCATCACTCCCAGACCCTCCAACCTCTCCAACGCCGACATTTTCTCCATCAACACGCCGCTTCACGCGCTCGACGGCGAGTTACCCTTCGGTGCCAGCCCCCACCTCTCCGGCTACGCTTCCTCCGACGCGTACTCGCTGCAACCAACGCCAAGGGCATCTAATTTCAATGAGATGGAGACGGGCACGCCCGTTTGGGGGAGGTCTCCGGTCGCCGGTGGAAGAGGATGCCGGCAGGCGTCGCCGGCGGGGAGAGTGGTGTGGGAGTCGCCGGGGAAATGCCTGGCAGAAGAGAGACACGAATGCAAGGACATTACTATGTCAGGTACGTTTGCCAGGGGCTTTTATCTTCTTTTCTTGTTATTTAAATATCAAATAGTCAACATATTTCTTTATTTTTATTTTTTTTTGCTATTATTTCTTTATTTATTTTATATGTACAGTGTTTTTTCGTGGATATGATAAAATAAAAATGAATAAGTTGTGACAATTAAATAAAATAAGACTAAAATAATAAATTCAATATATAACATTATCTTATTGGATAAAATTTATTTTAAAAAAATAGAATAATATTATAAAATAGACTTGTTATATTATATTAGTTGAAAAATATTAAAATAAAATGAAATAAAAAATTATCCCATCATATTTTATTTCATAGAATAGAATTGAAGAGTTACTACTCTAAAAAAATTTTTTTTTTTGAAAAATATTAAAATAAAATGAAATAAAAAATTATCCCATCATATTTTATTTCATAGAATAGAATTGAAGAGTTACTACTCTAAAAAATTATTTTTTTATGTAAAAAGAAAAAATAATTTTTAAAAAATATTCCACTGTTATAATTTAAAAATTCAAAATAAAATTTATTAATTTAACTATAATTTTATTATGAATTTTAATATATTTTAACTATTTTCTTTTCTTTCTTAACCTATACCAAGACCCATATTTTCAGTCAAACGTGTGGGGTTGGTTTCGTTTGGCAGTAGTAGTGAGTGAGTGGCTGGTCAAGCACACTATGAAAACGATACTTAAATTTAACATTTATTGCCACAAATAGGTGTAATAAATTTAAGCCAATAATGTTAGATACAAACACTCCAATGACTGATACATGTTATCGCAAGTTTATGCTTCTATTTTATTTTATTTTATTTTTGTTTTGTTTCACTGCTCGTTGATCTTGAGAATCCGGTGTGAATTGTGATATTTTGTAACTTTTCCTCTTTTTATATTCAAACTTCATTTATCACTCTATATCTTCATACAATATTTTTAAATATTCGATGTTCACAATGCATACAAGTTTCAATTTAAAGGACTGCTGGTAAGTGTCTTACAAAATTTTTTATGGTTCACTTTCTCTATATTTCTCTTTATTATGTATCTTTATTTATTTCACATTTCTATTTCCTTTTTAATTGTAGTAATTTTTGTCGAAAAATATTACGGGTATACAAATATCATGTTAGTCATTAGAACAGACTACGTTGTCGAGCAGATCATAAAACTATTAAATTTTTTAGGTAATGATTGTGATAATCAATATTTATAATGATTTGATAAATTATAAAAATTTATGTGTATCAAAATTATATTTAATTTAAATATATAATATTAGTATTATTATTTTATAATTTCTATATAATATTAGTGACGAGCAGGACATTTTTGTTTATATTTCTGAATTAGCTTTTATATACAACAGATGTTTCTTTATTCATATTATATACTTTATATTACAACTTTTTGAATTATCCTTAACTATGAATGAATAAACATGAATATATAAATAATAAGTTAAAAATAAAAATTGTAATATTAGTAGCTGACAGTCCCACGTGTAAAACTAAAAATAAAAATAGTAGATGCATTATTATTATTAGAATTGTCCCGTGAATGAACGCCGTCGTTTTGCGGGAATGAGAGGAAGAAGACATGTCATTTTAATGGCAGTGTGTTTGGCATCGTATATCAGAATTACGTCAAACGTACGTGTTGTTGAGCTTGCGCATGCCCATGCGAGCTTTTCAGGCATTGGGTGTACGTTTTGTCCCCGACCATCCTCAGCTAATGTCTTTGTCCTATCCTCATGCATTCATTGCTCATGTGATAATTTGTTAAGCTTTGATTTGTTGTTTTGCCATAATTTCATCGTTGAGCTCTTTCTGTGTGTGTGTGTGTTTGCATGCCCCGGAAATGATGGAAATGAGTAGATTGAAATACAATTTTGGCTGGGAAAATGTTTGATACACACGAACGAGAGAATGACGTTGAAGAGAAAAAATAAATAATATATATATATAATAAAAATATAACATATAAAAAAGAAATAAAGAAAGATATGAGGTGTTAATGAATAATATCTTACTCAATCTTTTTCTTTCATTCATTTTTTATCCTCTTTTTCTTTATTAAATTGTAATGGCATATGTAAAAAAAAGAGTGAATGTGAGAAAATTAAAATTCTTAAATTTTATTATTTTTTAATGATTTAAAATAAAACAAAGTGAAATAACCTATGATATAATACATGACATTTTATTCAATACCTCTTTTCTTCTCATAATATTAGAAAATGTTTATATAATAAAATAAATCTTTAATCTATTTAATTTTATTCCATTTCATTTAAGTTTCCTTATCATTAAACATAGACAAGCATCTATATAAGTGTTTTGTTTTCGTGCTTAGCATTGTGCATGTGTCGGTAATTCGAAATTTTAGACCTTGTATATGCAGAGGAAGGAAGGTAAAATACCTTAGCCATTTCTCTTTCCGAAGTAGAAACAACAATTAACAAAACACCGCAAATGTCGTGAGTGTACATGCATTTTAAGTTAATCCATGAGTTCTTACTTGAAAGAGAAAATTATGTTTATTAGCTACTAAAGAGAAAGAACTCAAGCGTGCTTTCCTTTGAGAATTATAATTCTGACTTGAGTAATTCATTGAGAATCATTCATTTCTTTGGTTATGTTACATCATAAACTGGAAAGTATGCACGTGAGAAATGAATATGCATATTAAACTCCGCAAAAGGAGTTACAGGATGGCTTTATAATTTGATTTTAGATCTTCACAAGAGTACTACCCGGCAATAGACAGGTGGTCCCTCCCACCCTTTCACGCCATCTTTAAAGTGGAAACATTTAGCTACTTAAAATGTAAAATAATACAAGTGGTCAAAACAATATAGAATTATTTACTTTTATATAAATTTGTCACTTTACTTAGTCAGAAGCTTAATTGATAGTAGCCATCATTTGGAAGAGAGCACGTGTGTCATGATGGTCGAAGTAGTATGATTCCCTAATTGGTGGTGAAAATTGTGTACAGTCCCTCCAAATCATAACACCGAATCATAGGCATCTAAAATTCATTTAATAGAGTTGTTTCACAGTACCCCCCACCCCCAATTAAACAGTCCTGTAAAATAAAATATCAAATCACCTGAAAAATAAAAATGAAATATCTATATGTGTGTGTGATCATCTTTTCACAATTTATTATATATATATATATATATATATATGATTAATTTTATTTAACGTAATTATTTTGGCTATTGTACAGATAAAGAAATCAGCTTCAGAGACAGCACCAAAGTCCCAATGCCGGATGAAGCTGAAGATCCCAAAGAGACAGTTATCAGTAACCAGAAAATGCCACATGCCTTTGTCATGATAAGACTAATACTTATCGTAGTAGGAAGGAAACTTGCTCGAAACCCTAATACATATTCCAGTGTATTAGGACTTCTTTGGTCTCTTATCTCTTTCAAGTAAGTGATAATCTGAACCGTTTTGCCAAAATTAATGACGAATGACACTAAACCCCACATTAACTTTAGTGACCTTAGAGTAGACAACTATTCTGTCATAAAAAATATTCATATTGGAAAACTGTTCTACATCATAATTAAAGGCTATAATTTGCTGTATTTATCTCATTCAATATTTTTTTATGTGAGTTTGCAGGTGGAATGTGGAAATGCCAAGTCTTGTCAAATCGTCTGTCAAAATCATCTCGGATGCAGGCCTTGGGATGGCTATGTTTAGCTTAGGTACATTACAAAAATATTAACATAATTAATTATATCATGCATTTCAGTTTCATATTACTTCCTATACATTTCATACACATGGGGTTTCTTCCTATATACGTCAATGTTACACAAATACACTAACCTAATATCAAATTGAAGAGGAAGACAAAAGAACACAAGAGGAAAAGGAAATAAATGTGATGTACTGGGGTGTTTGTGGCAACCCAATAAAATAAATGTGATGTCCCAATAGCACATGATGTTGGAGGGAAAATGGAGCTTGTAAAATGAAATTGATTCTCTATTGAGAAGATGAGTACTAAAATGGTCATCATATATATATACAAACAATGACAGATACTCGTTGCCAAATATGTGCAGGGCTTTTCATGGCCCTTCAGCCCCGAATCATAGCCTGCGGTACCAAAAGGGCAGTGATGGGTATGGTCATTCGCTTCCTATGTGGGCCTCTTGTAATGTCAGCTTCTTCCATTGCCATTGGATTGAGACAAGACAAACTTCACACTGCCATTGTACAGGTACTTGGACTATACATATATGTGGAATGAATACACATCTGCAGGCACATGCATCACATGGAAATTATTATATATCAGAACTATGGGTGCATGCTCCTAGTATCATAAATGTTTTTATTCCAAAATCAAGCGGTTTCATTTTTTTTTTTTACTTTTAATTATAAAATTATCACCTAATTTTATTTTTAAAATTTCCTAAAAAATACTGAAAATAACTTTTTCTTCTTTTATTTTTAGCATTTCTTTACAAATCTTAAAAAACAATAAATGAAGAACAGAAAACAATTTCTAGACTGAAATTGGTGTACATATGTGTCTTAACTTTGCCTCAATTTTTTTATTCTCAGGCTGCACTTCCACAGGGGATTGTGCCATTTGTATTTGCAAGGGAATATGGGTTGCATCCTGATATTTTGAGCACAGGGTAAGTCAGGAAATTTGATTTGACTTCGAGACTTTCGTATTTGATCTTGATTCAATATGTTGATAAATTAAAAACTTACAAATTAAAGTACAAAAACTAATGTGTTAAAATGTATAAATTAAATTTCAATGTTGCATGTCATGCTCTCATTGGATTACACGAGTAGGAGTATGTTGTCCACATTCCCCCAAAAAATAATTTAATGATACAACATCAAGTTGTTAGTTGTGTCCGAGTGGGGTACTATTGATTGTAGAAGGTTGATTGGAGGATAAAGTACTCAGAAAATGAAATGATGGAAGACAAAGTAAAGAGTATTGTAAGTTGACACGCATTCTATTGAACTTTTAACCTACCACACGTCATAAATTGATTATTATGTGGCTTTAGCTAGGATACCGAATCTATCAAACAGATTGTCCATAACAACCAGGGCACGTATAATTTGGACCCATAATTATGTGTGTTAATGGTGATTGAAAATCAATTTGCCTTTTCATGACGAGTTTCCCTCAAAATTTTAACCATGAAAGTATTTTCTAGCACCCTCTTTTACCTTGTTAATATGTAATCATTAGAAAGACGAGAGATTTTATGATACTGAAAACCTAGAGAAGGCTTTCTTGCAAAACTTGATCTTGTAAGGCTTTTACCCTACCAATTGATGCCTACATATATAGGCTATCTTTTTGGTGATCCTTTAACTCAAATTAAGTTAAGTTAATGTTATTTGCATATATTCACTATGTAAGAGATTGCTTGCATATTAATTTCATGGGCAATGCATATAGAGATTATAAAGCTTTGTTCTTTATCTTTGGCAGGGTTATCTTTGGCATGTTGATTTCCTTACCGATAACTCTCCTATATTACATATTTCTTGGGTTGTGAAGGGTAAGAAAATAGCTACAACTTCAAAGAAGAATCAGTGGTTAAGAAAAAAGCATAATCCAAACTATGATAACCCTACTAGACTAGGTGGGGTAATATATAAATCGGAAAGGTTCTATGTTCCCCCATAATTCTGTCAGCACCGACCACCATTACATGAAGGCTTCCACTATTGTAGACACTACCTGCGGAGAAGGTTGACTTATGCAAGAGCAAAACTTTTTCTAAAGCCACAAGTGTCAAGTATTATGGTTGTACGTAATAGAGGGGTGTGACAGAGATAACACAGAGTTGTAGCTTGGATTTCTAGCCCTCGACATGCCCTGCTACATAGATTAGTGGTAGCCGAAAGGGAAATAAATATTATCATGACCAATTATTAAGGTGGGAAATTTGCTTTTTTGTTGGAGGTTGGAATAGCTTGTGGGAACAATTGTTGACCCCCACAAAAAAAGTTTTAAGGCAACATTTAGCCAAATTTATTGCACTCTAAGGTGATTTTCTTTTTGTCCTCAATATATCAAATCGATGAGCATATAGCAATTGATTGTATGTGAAACAGAAAGCCTTGTTACCACAGAATTAAAGCTTTGAAAAGAAAAAAATTGTGCTGTTTGATGGAAGAGGTGAGGAATGAGGTGTAGCATACATCAATGACAAAATAAGGTTATTATTATAACCCAAAACGTGTCTTTTCGAACACATTATTAAAGATAAAGACATAATATGGAATATGAGTCTAATCATATAGGGTTTCTTCTGGCAGAAGTCTTCCAACATCATAGTTTCTTTCTTTTGGGGAAGAAAGCGTTACATTTATATTCATGCCCTTGCCGAGAAAGTAGACTGAAAATATTCTTCTTTTATATAAGCTTTTTTTAAAATAATAATTTATATAATAAATTTAACTACAAAATATTTGTTTTAAAAAATTAAAATATATTATAAAATATAAATTATTTTCATAAATACTTTATAAATGTTTTGATACTTACCTCTCTTTAAAGTATACTTAACAATAACCCTTATTAGTGTTTCCTCAGTAAATAATTAGTTTAGACAAATTTCAGAAATGATAAAAGTTAAACACACATATTATTATTGTTAAATAAACCAAAATATCTCTAAAAAGCACCCATACCCTCCTATGAAGAAAGATCTACTCATCTAAATTAAATTTTCAAATAAACAAAAAAAATTGTTTTCAAATAAATAAAAAGACAGAAGATACCTTAGGTTGTCTTAAAAAAAAGCAAGAAATGACAATCAACCATGATTTCAATATTCTTTAAGTATAGAAATTAAAACAATATTAAAATATATATTATTTGACATGCATTTCTCATATAGCAAAATTCAAAAAGGGGTGATTCTTCTATTTTCTCATTATTTTGATAAGTAACATGAGCTTTTCAATAATCAAAGGGTAAAAATATAAAATATTAATCGAATTAAACAATTTAACATATTGAAAATCACCAATTTTCAGTTGTCTCATCCTTTTCTTCTTTATCCACCAATTCCTTTCTCCTGTAACTCTCAGTAGAAACTACCATAGTAGCTTTGGGTGCCGCTTCAAAATTGGTATTGACATAGATTGGAGGCACGCAGACACTAAAGAGAAGTCAAGCTGAGTTAGGATGGTGGAGTATTAAGTTTGAATTTTGACACCCTTTTTCAACATGTTTATATGTACTTATTCTTGATTTGAATTGATTTTTATATTAACTACCTTGTTATTTGATGTAGATGAACATATTTGAGGATACATGAGACTTTTGGATATTTTTGGCCCAAACTCGAGATAATCATGCTAATCTGTACAAAGCACGCTCAGTCCTCTATTACTCAGCATGCCTATGCTTCAATATTAAGCACGACTGTGCATATTAAGCAGCACACTCATGTTTGTTTTTTAAGCACGACCATGCATATAGCTGGCACGATCGTGCTTACTTGCGAGAATTAAAGAAATGTTACAGTTTTCAAACCCTAATAAAAGAAGTGTGAGGGTAGCCATCTGAGCATCCAATTTTACACCTTGTCCTTGATCTGTGATACACCTCTTATCTTTCTACCTTGCTCTTGACCCTTTGACATACTCTTGGTGAGATTTGGAGTTTTGAGTGACTATACTTGAAGCCTGAGAACTCATCTCATCAAAGCCGTTCTTGACCTTTTTGAGACCCTAGGCAAAATAGAAAATTAGGGCCCTTTAAAAAAATTATAAAATATAATAAACAAAATAAAAGTATATATTAATAATTTTATTAAAATAATACTTTTTCTTAAGTAGCTATAATTTTTCTAATAAAATTATAAAAAAAATATTCTTTCATTCAACCAACTCTTATATTATAATTAACTACAAAAACATAGAAGATCATAAAAAATGAATTTTACGAGCATTTTGAGATGCAAAATCATCAATGATAACATTAACATTAATGTTTTTTAAAAATTCTTTATCGATTGATAAAATTGTGAGACCATTCAACGGTTCTTGTAACATTGATGACTTTAGGTAGGTTTTGATTAACTTTAACTTTAAAAAACTTCTTTCAGTTGATGATATAGTCATCGGGACCGCAAAAAAAATTATATAATTGATTAAAACATTTAAATAACAATCTGCAAATTTGACAAACTTAATAACTGTTTAATTTTTTGAAGAAAACTAAAATTCTCCATGAGATTTAATGTTAAGAATAGTAAAATTTTGGAATTACATAAATGAAGTTTTGGGTCTACAGAGGTCAATGAGTCGACTACATTTATAGCAAGTGAGGTGCGAAAAATTAAAAAAAATAAATTGTTTTTCTATTTTTTCCAACTACAAACTGTAAAAGCTGAAATTTTTTCAAGTAAAAGTAAGACACGATTTTTACTTTGGGCCATCTTTTAAGCTTGGGCCCTAGGCGATCGCACCTCTAAACTATCCTCAAAACCGGGCCTGCATCTCATCTCTAGTTTGCTAATTTTTTTTTACTATGACTTTGTTTATAATCATTTTAATTCTTTTCTTTTGCATGAAGAACTAAGTCCATAGCTAAGGCAATGAGAACTTTTGTTTATGAATTTATGAGATTTTGATGTTTGAATCTCAATTTAATTTATGTTCGTGATTAGTTTTTTCTTATTGCACATAATTGTATGTTGTGAATTAACAATTTGTAACATAACCCTACTTAATTATATCGTCAGATGACTGTACTTCGATTAGTTAATAGATCTATAGGATAAAACGAGACCAAAAATTAGGTAGACCAAACTAATCTTTCTCTTCCAATCATTATTAAATTAACAGTTCATAGGTGCTTTATTCTTTTTTGAATTAATATCTTGCATGACCATTGTGAATTTTAGTTTAGAGATAAGAATGTTAATATTCCATGATCATTGAGTATTGATAATAATTGTATGAATGATTGATAATTACAAAGAAATTAAACTTAGAATTAAAATGAAAAAAATAACATAAAGGATTGAATGAGTAACCCATGTGCCCTAGATTCCTCTCCTATAAGTTCAAGTAAGATGTGTGCCATCTTACTTGCTTGAATTTCGGTAATAATTATTTTAATTTCTAAATTATTTATTTAATTTTGCATCTTTTGAGCTCAAGAATTAAATTATGAAATTCTTAGTAATTGGAAGTAATTTTTATAGAACGATTGAGAACTTAATTTAAAAATCCTATATTACTTTTTAACGAGTACACTTACCCACCAAACATGGAGTCACCTTGTCAGTTATGAGTCTTAAGCCATATTCTATGATCCCTCTTCTATCAACTCATGCACTGTAACCACTTTGGGTTGGAATTCGTCGCTACAACGTGACATGATAGCGTGCCATATTAAAGCAACACTGTCACTGGAGCCAAAGAGTTTATAAGCGCTAAAATGGCCGCGACAGATGAAGCCATCGAAACGTGGTGGCAATGACGAGATAGAAAGAGAGAACGATGTATGAGTTAGACGAGTCGAGATGGTGTTTTGTCTTCTCCATAGACTTTCTGTCTTTCCTAACCATTTTTCATCTTCTTCAATAGCCCTCTACCATGCATATGCTACAACCACCATGCTACTACCTCTCTTTGATAATATGTCATCTTCTTCAATGACATTCTCTCATCCAACTTGTTTACGTATTTACTTAATAACCAATTTTTAATTTGGCATAAATTCCTTCCATCACAAAAAGCACACTTGTTATGATTAGTTCATTTTGATTTGTTTTTGATCTTATAATACCTTGAGTTTGTAGGATAGTGGGGGATTTTTTACCAGGAAGATTGAGAAAGAAAAATGAAAAGACAGATGGAGTAAAATGGCGTCAAAGAAGAGAAGAGGAAAGTAGAATAGAAAAATTACAGAATTATTATTTTGTAATACTATTTATTTTAGCAGTATTATTAACCGTTTGATTAAAAAGCTATTCAATTAAATAATTAACGACGCATATCAACGTTATGCCACTTTTTAAAAAGTTAAAATTTTCTTACTTATCAAAATTTATGAAAATGATGGAAGAATCACCTAATTAGAAGTAGTAGGTTCTAAAAAATAAATAAATTTATAAACAAGGCACAATAAATGTGTGACTTATTAAGGTGTTATATTGCATGGGTAATGTTATAAAATTATTGATGATAGATAGAGGCCATGCTTGGATTTGCTAGATTTATAAAGGAAATATATTTTATAAAGTTTTCTCAGTAAGATTTGAGCTGTGCGTTGTGTTAAATATTAAATAAAATAGTTCTTAAAACTCACAATAAGCTGGTTGAGGCAAAAAAAATATGTACAATCATCATTTCTATTCCGTTAATTAAATCGATTATCGAGATGTTTAGCGCAAATGACCATTTTATCATAAATGAGTGTTTATAAAAGCTTATATAAAGTTTTTTTAATTTTATAAAAATAATTTTTAACTCATTTATGTTATATTTATGATTAGATTTATAAGATAAATTTTAATATAATAAATGTTTA